TTACCTGACTGCCATAAATGTACCCAAGTCTGAATATCAGGTGAACATATGGACCTGATTATATATATAAAAAGGCAAATTAGAGATGCATTGGCAACATACCATCCACTGTCGTCTAAAATTAGAACAAATACAGTACTGGGGTAATAGAAATTAGTGGTAAAAGTGAAAAAAAGTGAGGATAAAAAGACAGTATACAATGTATACAACGAGAAAAAAACCAGTTATAAAAATGTATGCCAAAAGAATTTAAGAAAAACTCACAAATTATAGCTTTGGGTAGAAATTAAAAATGTTCTATAAAAGAGATAAATGGGGAGCTTCCATTACCTTGAATAGAATTAAAAATAAACATGATGAAATTGTTAAGTGAAGAAAAGCTTGAAGAATATTTTGTGTGAAAATGTTACTAAAATGTCAAAGGGTGGAATTGAAATGAATTTTAAAAACGTTAGTGGTCAAGAAAAAATGATGAAAAAAATCGTAAGAGCTGGGGAATGTTTAAAAGAAATGGAAAGACTGCAGTGTAGATGGCATAACTGCAGAGATGTCAACATTTGGGGGTGTTTTTCTCCTAGTTGCTAGGCCACTTGTTTTTATCTGAGTGTGAAGACTACATTGCTGCTTCTTGATTTGTAAGAGGTTTGTTGTAGGGAAAATGTGTAATAAATGAATTTATAAGAATTAATATGTTAAGCATGCCTCAAAAGTGTTTGGTAGAATGCTGAAAGTGAAAATAAACAGAAGTCCAAGAAGAAGATGAAGAGAGAGGAGTTTTGCTCTTCAATAAATCATTGACTATTAGATACTTTTGATACAGAGGAAGCATATTATAAAATGAATAGACCTGAATTATCAAACATTTTGCAAAATAGTTTTCTGACATGAGTAGGATACAGAATGGCAGACTTGAGTCTTATAATAATGACATAAATCACTAAGGAAGTAAACTAGAAATTAGCTACATTGTCTTGCAATGTCCAGAGACTGAGATAATGTCAAAAGAATAATTGTTTTCATTATCATTTAATTACCTTAATCCTTTGTTTTGAAAATTAAGAAAAGAGTCTAAGAGTCTCTTAAGACTTATGAAGGTACTTGTCCTCCCATGACTTCTCTCTGGATTGTTATTGCATTTTCTTTAGAGAGGACTTGCTGTGAAGAATATTTCTGAAGTACTATTACTGCAGGATATAAGTGGCTTTATGTGTGGTCAGGTACAATTCTAGATGATAGCAGTGAGCCCTAAATGCTGAAGACCAGAATATAGATAGGCTATTGCCTTCTCCTGTATAACCCTGCTTGTATATTGAGAGCCGAGGTGGCGCAGTGGTTAAATGCAGCACTGTAGGCTACTTCAGCTGACTGCAGTTCTGCAGTTCGGCTGTTCAAATCTCACCGGCTCAAGGTTGACTCAGCCTTCCATCCTTCCGAGGTGGGTAAAATGAGGACCCGGATTGTTGGGGGCGATATGCTGACTCTGTAAACCGCTTAGAGAGGGCTGAAAGCCCTATGAAGCGGTATATAAGTCTAACTGCTATTGCTATTGCTATTAGAGTATCTTTGAAGATGCTCTCATAACTACCAAATCCAGGAAGAAGGGCTGTCAATGGCTGTATCTGATGCTGAACATTGTTGGTTCATCAGTAGATTATTTTAACATTCCAAATATTTTTATAGAAGTTAGTGTATGTATTTAAGTGTGTTTTCCTGCTATCTTGTATTCATATTTTTGCATTTTTATGACATTAAGGATGAATGGCTAATAACTTTGAAGAGGATAAAGGGAATGTAAAATTTTTAGCTTACTTTACTTTACTTTATTGTCATTGCACCTCATACAATGAAATTAAATGCCGTCTTCAGTATACTTTATAATTATAAAAATAAAACACAAATACATATCCTTCACACTCTATACACTTGAATTGAAAATCGTTATTGCATTAATATTGCACTATACCATAGAATTCAATATAGTGACTTTCCTGGGATAGAAGCGTTTTTCAGCCTATTTGTCCTTGTTTTTATGATCTTTTACCGTCTGCCAGATGGTAATAGTTAAAAAAAAAGGGTACCCAGGATAAGATGGATCTTTAAGAATAATTTGTACTTTCTTAAGGGAGCTATAAAGCTCTTCCAAAAAGGGGAGAAGGCAACTAAAGATCCTCTGGGCAATGATGTTAACCTTCTGGAGTGCTGTCCTATCTGCCACTGTGCAGTAAGTTAAAATACTATTGTGCAGTAGAAGGTAACCAGCAGTTTTTCATCCAGTTGTTGTTTCCTGAGAAGTCTCAGGTAGTATAATCTCTGCTGGGCCCTTTTGACCTGTACTGCAATGTGAGGCCCCAGGTCCTCTTTTATGATAACACCCAGAAATTTAAAATTGGCCACTTGCTCCACTCAGTCTCCATTGATAAGCAAGGCTGGATGTCTGATCTATTCCTTCTATAATCCACTATAAGATCCTTGATCTTATTGGTATTGAGGACCAAATTATTGTCTCCACATCATGAAAGCAACTGGTCCACCTCATCTCAATAGACAGACTCATCTCCCCCAAAGATGAGTCTCACCACTGTTGTATCATCTGCAAATTTGGTAATAGTATTACTAGCATGAGTGGGAATGCAGTCATGCACATTATTATTTTAACTAATAATCTGCTCTAGATTGACAGCAGTATGGAAATTGGTTTGGCAGGTAGATACAATAGAAAAAATGTATAATATCATATAAATGTATAATTAGTATCATGTTTATCAATGTCATGTTTATCAATGCCATGTTTATCTGTGAAACATATACATTGAGATTGCTCATCTTTGGGAGTGTCCTTCATTTAAACCACAAATCTCTTTCAGATGGGTAAAAATTGGGGAACTCCCACTGAAGTTGGCTTGGATAGGTGGGAGAGGATGAGAAGAAGTGTATGTACATAAACTTCTCCTGGATATTGGCATCACCAGCAGAGTTCCCAAGAGTTAGGCAAAAGTGAAGTACTTCTTCAGAACTTTTGCACATGCCTTATAGGATGCCCTTTGATCATTAGTGGAAGCGAAACAGAAAGGCTGAACTGCCAGCATCTTGAGCTATATTTCTCAATATGACCTGTAATTCAGAATGTGGCGGAATCCTAAGTATGTTTACCTGGAAGTAAGCTCCTAAGTCATGCATCAGATCAAACGTATCCAACCTACCCAACCCTTTCTTCCCTCCAAATAAGTATCTTTATATTGCAATTTTTTTTAGTGCTTTCAGTTACTAGAAGACTTTTACTTTACCTTCATTTGATAGAATTGACTATCAGTCCAGAAGACTAAACATTCTACAATAAATGTATTGATTACAAAAAATTTTCAAGTACTTGTTACATTCCTGAAAGCAGGAAAAACACCATGATTTTAGATGGCAGTATTCCTCCTTCAAATGACTTTGCCTTCTACAATGCTTTCCTAAGATGAGAATTATTTATTTTTCTTTTATTCATATGCTAGACTTATATTTGATATGTTGCCTTCAGGAGTTCTACGTTATAACATACACAGTGCTCCCCTTTTCTATTTCTTTTAGAATTCCCAGTCCAAACATTGGGTCCAAACATTATACTATATCAGCTTTGACAATTGAAATCTGACAAATCTGGAGAACTTAATTTAGATTAAGCTTCTTGTGAAACCTATGATGATCACAACGCTTCCATGTTATTATTATATCCACTTTGAAAATTGTAAATTGTAAATGACTGACAATATCTTACTTCAAAGTACCTAGTGTCACTACACATAGCTATGAAAGGATTTGCTCTGAGAACACCCAGACCAAAACTAATGTTCAGATGAACTACAGAACAATTGCTTTCTTCCTATTTGTAAATATTAATCATTGCTTTGCAGCAAAGCAAATTTTAAGCTCCGTTGCATTACATATGGTTATATGTAACCATGTTTTCAAACTAGTTTTAAAGTACTATTTTGGGATCATTTTAAAAAAATCTATTCTATTTTATTCTATTCTATTTTAATTTTTTTGTTAGGAACAAAGGGTGGGACAGAAAATATTTTAAATGTGTAGTTTTCTTTTGTTTTTAAATGCAATGGCTAGACCATTTACTCTGGTCTTCAAATTAAAAGCTATCTTAATTATATGCAGTTTAAATCTGAACTTTTTGTTGTTATGATATGGAAAGCAACCAAACCAGCAATAGGGTGATTTTTTCCCTGCTTTGTTTCACTTTGGAAAGAAATGGAATCTGAAAGCAATGTGGAATAGAAACACTCTTAAAGCACCAAAATCTCTTCGTAATGCTCTAATATACTTTTCAGGTTTCTGCAACTGTTTTTCTTCCAAAAAGTACATCTTGACCATTTGTTTACCAACCATTGAAAGTTACAATGGCAATGAAAAAAGTGACTTACAGCTGATCCTTGCACTTGTGACTGTCTCAATATCCCCATGGTCACATGGTCAAGATTTTGGTGCTTGGTAACTGGCATATATTTGCTACAGCTGCAGCATCCTAGAGTCATGTGCTTAGCATTTACAACCTGCCCTGGGGGATTTCCATAAGCAACGTCAATGGAGAAAACTGCATGATTTGCTTATTGAGCCAAGGTGGCACAGCGGTTAGAGTGCAGTATTGCTGCAGGCTACTTCAGCTGACTGCTAGCTGTAGTTCAGCAGTTCAAATCTCACCCCCTCAAGGTTGACTCAGCCTTCCATCTTTCTGAAATGGGTAAAATGAGGACCCAGATTGTTGGGGTCAATAGGGTGACTTGGTAAACTGCTTAGAGAGGGCAGTATAAAAAGCACTATGAAGTGGTATATAAGTCTAAGTGCTATTGCTATTAATGACAGAAGTTCCAGTCCCAATTCTGGTCATAAGCTGAGGGCTATCTAAAAATGATAATAATAGGGAAGGACACATGCCATCACAGATGACATCAAGTGAGGATGCTGAATGACAAACCCTGAAGTTCATTTTTTCCCTCTCTCCTTAGCCACCAGAAAAGGAAGGTGGTCTACCTCGTCAGGTTGGCAACAAGACAGAATGTGGATTGCTTGGATTTGTGGTGGATCTAAAGCAGGATTATCAGCCTGCTCGAAATCAAATGCCTGAAGAGAAACTCTACAAAGTTTACACATTTAACTCTGTGAGAAAGTCAATGAGCACTGTCATTAAAATGCCAGATGACAGCTTCCGAATGTATAGCAAAGGGGCTTCTGAAATTGTCCTAAAGAAGTATGTGCACGGTATTTGTTTTGAACCCTTTTTCATTAATTCTATAGGGAGGTGTTCCCAGTTGCTTTCTGAATATAACTATACTATTGCCACAGATAGTCAACCAGATAGATGTATCCGTAATGAAACTCCAATTTTTCATAAAAACAATGGGATATTCTTTTATGTAAAATTTGTTTATACATTTGTTCTTTTAGTGCATCATCATTTACTGGACAATTCTGAATAAAATATGTATGAAATGTCACCGATCAAGTGCCATCGATATCTGTTTTTCTTTATTATAAGTACTTGCTTTGAGCAGAATTTGGACTAAAACAGAAAGGGAGATGGTAAAGAGATCTTTTGACATAGTCTCTTTGTTTGAAAAGTTTCTTTTGTTAATTGGAATTTCGTCACTCATTATTTGAGGCAGATATGATCGAAGTGGCTGCTGCTATTTTTTTTAAAAAAAATATTCTAAATGCCATAATCTCATTCATCCCTTTCAATTGTTGAATCTTACTTCTTTGCAGTTGTGATCCAGTCATTGGTTTTCCTTTCTTTCCAGATGTTCTAAGATTCTTAATGCTGCAGGAGAGCTTCGCATTTTTAGACCTCGTGACAGAGATGAGATGGTTAAGAAAGTGATTGAGCCCATGGCCTGTGATGGATTGAGAACCATCTGTGTTGCTTATCGAGACTTTCCCAGCGATCCTGAACCAGAATGGGACAATGAAAATGATATTTTAAACGATCTTACATGCATTTGTGTGGTTGGCATAGAAGATCCTGTAAGACCAGAGGTAAAAATACTCTAAAGCAAAACAAAAATCCCAAGAAGCACAGAGGGTTCCCCCCCACCCCTGTGGGCAGTTTAAAAAAACAGGTCTTTTTAAAAAATGTCAACTTTTCAATATTTCCAAACATAACACAGTATAAAAACAACATGAATATGTGAACTCCTTTAGAATTCTTATTTGACTCTAAGAATTTGAATTATTTTGCTAATACTCATTTATTTATTTAAGGTGCGTGCTGTTTATCCCCCTTTATCTAAGAAGACAAATATTATGCATGCTTAGTGAATTTGCGATTGATGAAAGGAAGATGGTAGAAACATTTGTTTCCTTGGACTCCAAAATAAAGATGGACAGGGTGCTGGAAATTAATTCTACAGAGGAAAACAATAGCAGGCCTAGATCAGATTGTGAAGCAGAAGGGCTTTTTCAAGTACAACAAAGATCAGAATAGTTAGAGCAGTAGACTTCTGGTGGTCCTGGAAGTCTGTAAATGCTAAACAGAGAAAGTGAAAGAGAAATGTAGGTGCTTCTGAACAGCGGCCATGAAAAGTTCTGAGAATTGCAGGAAGAACCAGTCACTCCTTGACCACAGAAAGACTTGATTGCTCTCTTGAGGTGATGTGCATCAAGCAGAATCTCACATAATGTTGGCATGTGATGCAAGCAGGCAATGAACAAGAACAAAGTAGGACTAGAAAAAGAAAGGCAATGAATAGATGCAATCAAACAAATGGAGAGTTTGAAATGACGTTGAAATGGCAAGCTTTCATTTATAGAATGCCCCAGAATCAAATGTAACTTTGTGACACTTAACTAGTTAACTAGCATTGATTTCAACCATTCTCATTCATTTTAATAGAAAAGTCATTTCACCATTTGGTTTGAAAGGTTTGGGTGGGGTAAAGGAGTTTATGCAATGGCTGGGGGATGTGTGTGAGAGTCTTGCATTGTGTTATTCACTAATTTCTTCAGTAATGATAACTCTTCAGGGAGAAAGCTAGCAGAAACCCCACCCCTCCCCTATTTCTAGACACAGTAAGACAAGTTTTAAAACACCAGAATAAATGGTATCGTGATTCTGACTGGGAACTATAATTTTTCTTTGCAAGGGACAGGAACTTAACAGAACTGGAAATGTTACTTACTCATGGAGAACCACTCTTAACTATTTACTTATTTTTGCTTTCACAATCATATTCTTTTGAAAAGAGTGTTATAATTGTAGTTTATTTGCTTTTTTAAGGAAAATCTGAGATAGCAGCAATGACCTACTGATGTGGAGAGTTTTCAGCAGTTCACGCATCTCTGGTTTAGATCCACACTTAAATTTTCAGCATTTTAAGTATGAACTGCAGTATAGTAGAACAAGTAGGTTAGAATGGCTTATATGATTGCTTTATTTTGACAAAAGTGATACTTCAACATTTATTTCCCCAGGGCCCAGCTTGTGTTAAAGGTAATTTGAGTACTTTTTTCATGCGCAAATGTGTTACGAATCCCAGATAAAAACTTCCAAATATATATTGAAAAAAAAGGAAAAAAAATTGCCCTAAAGAATTCAACTTGAAGATACAAAGATTAATCCTCCTGGGAAAGCCACTCTTCACTCCTAAAACGTCAGATCCTGGAGTAGCTATTTCCCCTATGGTTGGAATTTGCATAATCAGACAATCCTGTTTGCATTTGTGCTAGAAAATTGTGATGCAGTTAATATCAAATCAGTTCAAATTTATTGTTCTGCAAATTTGTTCAAGTTGTCTATTTTAAGTTTCACATTTTATTAATTTGTGGGTTTACCATAGGTTGTAATGTCTGTATTGCTCTCTTTCTTATGAACTAATCAGTAGTTATAACTGAATTAAGAGACATGCTTAGTTATTAGCACTTCTACCAACAGCTGGATGCCTGGAGGGAAAGGAAGGCAACCATGTAGTGAGAGAAAAAGCAATTATAGTCATTACATAGTAATAATGGGGAGCTCTGAATGTGGATATAAAATACATGAAGATAAAACAGATTTTACTGATTGCCCCGTGGCTGATAGAGGAATTGCTCAATTCAATAGACAGTAGAAAAATTGTGATAATTGATCTACAAAATAGAGGAACAGTTCTTAAGTGATCCTTATAGTGGGTTACTTTTTAAACTAATCCTGGAGTTCAAGTCATATCCTAGTAGTAAGCGCAGCATAGCATGGCCTCATTTCTCTGTTGGACTCATTGAGATAAAGATGGGAGGTTGTTCCTGAGCCTCAGCTGCTTTCTGGGCTACTTTTTTGTGTGGCTCTTCTCACTATCTGGATGACCTTACTCAATCTTAGAAAGCTAAGAAGGCCTATTTAAGACTTGGATGGAAAGCCGCCAGAGAATCCAAAACCTAAGCAAGCAAGCAAGCAAACAAACAAACAAACAATTCTAGAGGAAAACAATGAAAACCCATTCCATAGTGTTCTTAAGAAATTGCCAGATCTTCTTGACTTGAGGAGACTTTATTTGTATGCACCACAGCATGACAATTATTTTTTAACCGTTATAAAACATTAAACAGGCAAAAATGTGATGTGAACCTTATATGAGATTAACACTATAAAAAAAATCCCACAACTCTAACTCTTCTCTCATTGCCACGCCCACTGCAACCCTTAATCTCTTAAAAACATGAAACATCTATTTTGCTGCGTTTTGTAGTGGTTCTTCAATGATACATTCAACTGGGATGAGAAAGCTAAATAATTTTATGCCTGTTATACTGCTATGTTAATCTGTAATTAATATTTATAGAACATGTTTTATTTCTCTTTTCTACTCTCAATATTCCAAGCTTTTCAATAATAGATTGTTAATAGTTTTTAAACATTTTATAGAAACATTTAGATATGGAAACAATAGAATGAATTAATATTTATAATACATAATAAAAGGGGAAAAAGGCAAAGAAAAAGGGAAAGAAAAGAAATGTGGAACTTGGAGATCAAGAGCAGCCCACCCCTGCTCTGTACAAACATTAACATCCTACTCATAGATTCAAACAAGCTTATCACCATGGCAGTGCACAGTTGTGGTGTATAAGAAATGTGATCCTTCACTAGCAGTTCTTTTCCACTTCCACAAATGGTATGTGCTTTTTAGGTAAAACAATTGGAGCACATTGTTATTTTATGTTAAAGAAATAGCAGAACGAATTTGTGCCATTGGGTTGATATTTGCTTACTCAACCCAGGCCTTCTTTCTAGTATTATGATTTCTTATGGTTCTAGTGTTTTTTTTCCAAATTAAATTCTTTTAAAATTCTGGTTTGAGCAGGCTCTTAATATGATTTCCATCTTCTTTCAAAAGTAAAATATCCATTCCTCATTAGCAATCAGTTTGTTTTTAAGGACATAAAAAATAAGTCTATAAACTAGTAATTAGAGTACGTGGCATTCTGCAAACTCTTCAGAATGTCTTTTTGCCATATATGTTATATTCTTAGGGGCTGTATATCCTTACAACACCAAAAGGCCCACGATGTCTCTCATTTTCATTTACTAATGATGCAGTTTTCAATATTTGAAAATACTTCATTCCAAAGTACGGTTCTTATGAGTTATTATTATGCTATATCCTGCTTTTCTGTTCCATCTTCTTCCATTCCATGTCACTGTTTGATTAGGTCCCAGAAGCCATAAGAAAGTGCCAGCGAGCTGGAATTACAGTTCGCATGGTTACGGGAGATAACATCAATACAGCTCGTGCCATTGCCATAAAATGTGGAATTATTCACCCTGGTGAAGATTTCCTCTGTATTGAAGGAAAGGAATTTAATCGAAGGATTCGAAATGAGAAGGGAGATGTAAGTCATGTGCAGAACAGCATATATTCTGTCCAATTGTTAAAGAACTGGAAAGAGAAAGCACTTTTTGTATTTAATGGACTGTTGACCCCCATTTTTTTTAGTTTTCTGTGCAAGAGATATCATTAAAAATGGCAATACTGTAATATTAATTGCTGACAGAAATTAGCAGGAGTAAGTCAAACCTTTGCATACATTTCAGTTTTCATTACTGCTCATCAAAATGTGGTATTGTTTGAAAAAGCTCCATGCCCTGTTTTATCGGTTCCCTGTTCCTTTTAATAAGTGACTTGTACTTTCCTGGAAACAACATCTGAATTGATAAAAACTAGTTATCACCATTTCTCAAAATCAGGATTGAAGCTTAGTTTGCAATCCTTTTTAAAGAGATTATGTAATGTGAAGTTTTTGTTGCTTTTTGAGCTTGCTTATTTGCTTGCAAATGTTTTCTCACACAACTAGGTAACATCATTAGTGGAAACTCAGCTAGGTCCCTTATACTGATGATACTATCTGTTAGGTAATGAAATGTCTGTGAGCAAACAACCAAGTTCAGAGAGCACAAATAACTTCACACTTCCTCCCTCAACTATTGCCTCCTATTGGAGTTTATTTTGCGTACATTCACACTAAAAATCACTTTTATTAATATTTGTATAAATCATAACTATAAAACACAGGTCAGCCTCCCTCCCTCTGTTCCTCCCTTCCTCCATAAAATTTTTGATTATTCATAATAAAATGATCCAGAGGTGGTATTTAGCAGGTTCTGACCAGTTCTGGAGAACCAATAGCAGAAATTTTGAGTTGTTCGGAGAACTGATAAATACCACTTCTGACTGGCCCCACCCCCATCTATTCTCTGCCTCCCGAGTCCTATCTGATCTGGAGGAAATTGAGATTTTATATTATCCTTCCCCTGCCATGCCCACCAAGCCACGCCCACCAAGCTATGGTCACAGAACCGGTAGTAAAAAAATTTGAATCCCACCACTGGACGTATCCCACTAAGATATGACAGAAATCTATTCTACATTTAATCACAAGTGTTTTTGTAAGTTTAGAAAATTCCTATTTCATTTATTTAAAAAACCTGATGCAGAAACTATGTAGAAAAAACTAATCTGGTATTCATCAGGAATATTGAGAACAAGATGTTGAAAGCAGCACAATACTAAAAAATAGTACAACAATATTACTCAGACAACAATCTATTGCATATTAATTTGAATGGGGAGTGGAATATTTCTTCTCATCCTTAAAAGTGATGTTTTTAAAAATGACACTGAAATGAATTGAAGAATGATGAATGCATTCTTTTTGTTACCCTTTTTATTACTTTCAGATAGAGCAGGAACGCATTGATAAGATATGGCCAAAACTTCGTGTCCTTGCTCGTTCATCACCCACAGATAAACATACTTTGGTAAAAGGTAAGATTGTGCTTTGGATGTATCTCTACATATCTGTTACTTTATGATGGCTTTTGTAGCAAATTTAAACAGTTTGCTTCCTTTTCGCAATTTCCTGAACATAAGTCATAAGGCACATTGCTCCAAGAAAGTAGGTGTAACAACTTTTTGATGATAAGAATGTTTATTGTGCCACTTGCCTTCTAGAATGAACTTAATCTCTTCCTGATGATATTATGGAAAGCCTGGCCATTCTCTTAGGTTCCTGGGCTAGGGTGGATGGAATCCCTGTGAGATGTATTTGCTGGACTTCCATATTGGGTTTTATTTTGTTCTTTTTAACTTTATTTTATTAATTTTATTTCTGACTCATCATATTGATATTTTGATCCTTCTTTGTATTGTTTCTGACTCATTATATTGTGCATTATTGTTACCTTGTTAGCTTCCCAACATCTTTTAGAGTTGGGCAGCCTCTACACTGAATAAATTAAATTAAATTACATTAAATGACACTTACCCCAAACCTATATTTTGGTTCCCACGCATCTTTTATAATGAATGCTATATTTTTTCAACTATTCCAACCAAGAGCAATAATTGCCAGCAAAATTCAGATGTGCAAAATCAGTCTATCCTTTGTGAAATGCCCATATTTTGAGGTGTAAGAGTTCAACAGTCTTTGCCTTTGTACATCTTTTTGAATCATCTTCCCAGGTCTGATCATGTCAGTGAGAAATACTTTTTGCTGTCTTCCACCATAGGAGTTGGCCATTTTATTATTGATGCTAGTCTATAAAACGTATACTGTTGTTGCTCTCCAATTTAATAATAATTATGCCTTTGGTACTGATCACAAGAAAGCATGTGCCTTCTCACTTCATTGTCCAACTCTAAAAAGGATCAAACATGTATATTTAAAATAATGCATACAAAGCCACACATGTGTACATTCACAACAGTCAATCTAACATTTGCTTTATTTGATGTCATAAATCCTGCTAAAATGTTTAGGCTGTTAGCATCTTGGAGAATTAAGCTCTCAAAATTCATTTCATCTCAGCCTGCATTAAAAGATGCAACCCCTCCTCTTTTCCAATTACTCATCCACTTAATATACAATAGGACAAAAATGAACTCTTTTGTAGGGGAAATGCAGTTAGCAGGGTAGAGTGATGGTAAAAATGAATCTAAACGAGATGGGTTGCAGAGCATAAGATTATGGCATAAATAAAACAGACCTGAATGTCTTATATAACTTCAGTTTAAAACGGTGGTGAAAGCACTCAGCAAACAGCAGAGCCAGCAGGAAAAGAACGGAATAAGGCCTATAATGGAAGAAGAGTGCTTTTGGCTTGGGAGCATCTTTTGCTTTTTTAAAATGAATTTCATTTAAAGTTACACAGAATTATTTGGGACACTTATTTTTGACCATATGCATGTTCTTCTGCTTGAAGAATTAATCAGGATCCCACTTTTTTTTTCTTATTCAACTATCTGGTGTACATGCATATTTCACACCTCTTATGCTTCTTGAAAATTAGAATCTATCAACAAGATGATAAATTCTAATGGATGTGGATGAAGAGCATAATTTATTGGCATTATTTTTGGTGTCTTCCTATCTGTGATTTTTTACTTCAGCTGGAGTCCAGTCCACTATTACAGTGATATATCTAATGACTGGAATTTCTCAGGTGTTCGTTACCTTGATGATATTCCTGCCACTGAGTTTGGACAATAAGATATTCACTCTTCTGATGTGTTCACTCCTAACTTTCTTCTTGACTTCAATGTGCTTGATGTTGTCAGCTTGCCTAGATATTTGTGGTAATCTTCTTCATCCAGTAAAACAACCGGATGCTTTTATTACTTGTCTGACCTAGATGGTTGGGGACAATATGCTGACTCTGTAAACGGCTTAGAGAGGGCTGTAAAGCACTATGAAGCGGTATAGTAATCTAAGCTATCCCCTATTGAAGATAAGGAGAGCGTATTTGTCCTGTCCAAACTCCATTGCAATATCTTGACTGTGTGGTTAGTAGTATTTACCACCCATAAAGCACTTAGCAGAATAAGAGTGGGAAGGAGATCTTCTAGTCCTTGGAGGTCTTCTAGTCCAACCCTCTGCAAAAGCACCCTATATCATTCTGGACAAATGACTGTCCAATCTCTTCTTAAAAACCTCCAGTGAGCACCCGCAACTTCTGAAGGCAACTTGTTCCACTAGTTAATTGTTCTGTCAGACTATTTCTGGAAGTCTGTGGACCAACTATTTCTGCTTGTACAATTGATAGAGTAAACTAACTCCAGTTAGTCAAACTGATGATCAAAGATGTCACCTGGAAAAATCCTGAAAGGAGGCCTTCTCTATTTTGTCTGTCTGCTGGAATATAATCTTCATAAAGATCCATATGGTGCATCCTGACTATCTTTGAAAAGACTTTGAAAGCTTGAGTTTTCCTTCAAGATTTGGATTAGGGTTGGTAGTAAGATCCTTTTAATATTTTATATATTACCTGCATGTCCCAAAGGTGATTTTGCAAGAGGTAACTCGACCGGAAAGTCCAGATGCCTATTGAAAAAGCACCTTTGGGACAACCATGACCTAGAGGATTGAGAACCTTCATAGACATGTTATCTGCTTTTCTTCTGAGGCATACATAGATTTTTCATCTTTTAAAATCTCTGTTGCTCTTAATATTTCATAATGCACTGAGCCTCCTGAAGTTGGGCAGATTTCTAACATGCATAACATATTTACATGATTCCTTAAGAATGCATTGCCATATTTTGCAGGTATCATTGACAGCACGCAAGTGGAACAGAGGCAGGTTGTAGCAGTGACTGGTGATGGAACTAATGATGGACCAGCTCTTAAAAAAGCTGATGTTGGCTTTGCAATGGTATATTTCAGTTTGTTTCTTGTTTGAGTGAATGCATTGCATTTGGAATTGGTTTAAATATTCCCCCAAAGTTTTTTTAATGATGAAAAAATTGTTCTCAATGATTCTTTCAATCTACTCTAATGCTGCAATATGTTTTAATAATATTAGCATTACCTGGATTTTCTAAATGGTTTTGAAAATATGTTCTTTGTAAGGGTAGTTGGGTAATAACTAAAACTTCAGCTCTGAGCAATATGCCAGATCACAAACAGATTCCAGTATGCTTGCCATCTGCTGTACAAAATCTGTTGAAGGGAGCTAGTCCAAGAAATTACTTTCACACTGTTTTGGATCTTGGCTGCTATTTTATCCCTCAACAGATATTTAAGAGTAAAGTATTCTGGGGGAAAACCCTTTTTTCTGACCTTGTAGACCATATTTGGGTACCAGTGGTGGATTCTGGATCCTGTTGCAATTGGTATGCTGCAACGGGGCCCGGCGTCCACAACGTGCACACATGCAGCACACACGCAACACGGAAATGCATACTTACCACCCGTGACACTCCAGCTGCTCGGTGGAGCATTGTGCAGGCGCCATATACTCCGTGCATGTGTGCGAAAGCCCCGATCGATTCAAATACACATAAGGAGGATGGGCGGGTGAGCCCTCTGGAACACTGTACCAGAACGGTATCTGGTGCTCCCAGCAGGCACCGATAAGCCCGAACCGGGGCGTAGCGGTCATATCACACCAATGTTGGGTACTCATCCAAACTGATTTCTTATTGCTCCTTCTAGAAAACTATTATTGGCATTTCTTTATTTTTCAGGGTATTGCAGGAACAGACGTGGCAAAGGAAGCTTCTGATATTATCCTCACAGATGACAACTTCAGTAGTATTGTGAAAGCTGTAATGTGGGGCCGTAATGTTTATGACAGTATTTCTAAGTTCCTGCAGTTCCAGCTTACCGTAAACGTGGTGGCTGTGATCGTGGCTTTCACTGGTGCTTGCATTACCCAGGTAAGGCTCAGAGTAAACTAAAGTCCACTCTGGGCATTGCAGTGTTCTATTTATTTTATAAACACATAGGTCTTATTTCTTTGGTAGCAGCCCCAAGCAATACTTTGTGTGGTGGTTAAAGCAGGTCACTGCATTGTGTCCATATGCTAGGCAAAAATCCACGAGGTTTGGAAACAAAGACCTCAGGTTATGTGAATATTTAAATCTCCCAAGAAATTAGATTGATTCAAAAGGTACCATAATTGGAGGATAGCATTTTGGGTTATAGAGGTAATCCTCATTGAATCACCATTTGTTCAGCACCTGTTCAAACTTGTGACCGCACTGAATGAGGGGTACTTAGGATTGGGTCTCATAGTTATGGCCATGGTCACATGATCATGATTCAGGTACCAAGCAAACAGTTTGCAATTGCAACATTGTAGCGATCAGAGGTCATATAACTGTCATTTGTGAATTTCTGTTGGCTTCTGACATGCAGAGTCAATGGAGAAGCTGGGAGGAGGTCTCAAATGATAATTGCATGCAACATCACAAGATTCATCTAATGACAGCAACTGAAATTGCTGGAACTGCTATCATAAGTCAGGGCAATCACATATCAACTTTTGATTACATTATTTAGTGATAGGGTTCCTGGACCCAATTACCATCAAGTGCGGATTACTCATATAGCCACCTTCCACACCTTTTTTTTTGTTTACAATATTGTAATTACTGGGAGCAACCTATGCAATAATCTTTTTTAGCTACTATATGGACTAGGGAGAGCCACTGGTATATTGTAGAGGAACTTATGCATTTTAGTAATTGATTTATAATCCTCTTTTAAATAAAGCAAAAGTTTACAGTATGCATATGGTTTTATTTTGCTTTTAAAAAGCAAAACGCTCAATAATATTTCCTTCATTTCTCTAACATTCTTGAAAACATAATAGGCTGATTAACAATGTCACATATTTGAATTTGAGTCAGAAAACTATCGTTTTATCTAGTGAATCTTTTTGTAATCCTAAACTTTTTTCACTTTTTCTTTCTTCCTTAACTTATTATCCTTTTCCCTTGTCTCATCTTCATCCAATTAAGATCCCTCCCCTAATTCTTTTTTCTTTCTTTTCCTTTTCTGGTGCTATTTCATCTCTCTCTATTCCATCTTCATGTTGTCAGCCTTCCCATGCTGTATTTTATAGAAAATTTGTTTTAATCTATTTTCTTCTGGAACCCACACACACCCACACACCCACACACACCCACACACCCACACTTTTTTACATGTGCCATGTAAACAAGTGAAATATGCTATCATGATTTTCAAAAGTTGTGGAGTACAAAAGAGTCAGTCTCTCTCTCTCTCCTCTCTCTCTCTCTCTCTCTCTCTCTCTCTCTCTCTCCTCCCTCCCTCTCCCTCCCTCCCTCCTCCCTCTCTCTTTGTGTGTGTGTGTGTATGTGTCCCTCTCTATGTATATATGCCTTGTCTATAGAAGCTTGTAACAAAATCTACCTTTGAAAACATTATTCGCATAGCACATACTGTTCACTCTGGTGCAACAGGGAAACTCAGCCTCACAGAGCGAATTATGAATAAGTCATTAGGTGTACTGTACAGAATAAGTTTACCTTGTCATCATGATATGGCCAAGTGAAACCTGAGGCGATCTCTTTTGGAAGCCACAACATTGAAACTCCCCCCAAGTTAACCTGCTAAATTTTTCAAGGTGTAACTATTGATTTCTTCAAGGTTATTAGTCCCTCTGAGAAACAACCCCTCAAAGGAAACACTCCAGTTAAAAACATGCATGTGTGGGAAATGCCAGGTCAACATTTACAATAAGTAATATTTGATTACGCTATGCAAGACAATAAGTAAATAAAAACCAAGAGAGGAATACTTTAGAGAAAAGAATGCATTTCCTTGACTCACTAAGAGTCTGGTATTTATCTGGTTTACATTAACTATCATTAATTAAATAAGCCATAACTTCTAGGTTTGCACAACATGATAAGCTAAAACCCAACCAACTACATTTTAATTATCCAGTCGTATATTTTAATGATTTAAGAAGCTTGGATTTGATCTATTTTTGCATAGCTTTAGATTATGTAGAAGGATGTAATTGCGTGTATTGAATGAACACATAGAAAGAATTGCATAAATCATGATATTGCTCAGCAGAGCTCCCATTCCTCTCTCCCTGATTGGACTTAAACACACAGTACATATGGAAATAATCCTTTCCACCAAATGGGAGGTTGACCAATGCCTATCTTATTCATCCCTTTCTGAGGGTCTAGACTGAGGTGTCCAACTTTGGCATCTTTAAGACTTGTGGACTTCAGTAGAAATTTCATTACACCAAGTACCAAAAACTAATTTGTATTTAATGCTTAGACTGTGGTTCAGAAGGAGCTTTTATGTTTGACTGAACTGTGCAGACTAGTAGGCAATTATTAGTCTCATCCAAGCAACATGCAGTGATTGGTAATGGGAAATAGTGAGAATGCTGTGCTACCCAAAACAACAGCTGACAATTGCACATGTGTAATTTATAGGATGGATCAAAGTGATAAATTTGCTTTTCATTATATACTGTGATTCTTTTGGATTTTACTGACACTTACATAATAAATACTTTTAAAATAGAGATTTATATGGGGTGAGAACAGCATTTAAAAATGAACACTTCAAGAAATAATTTTTAACTGTTTGGAATTCTAACTTGATAAGTTCAGTTCAAAATATTCCCCAATCACACATGAGGTCACATTGCTCAGTGAAAGTTACCTTCCTGCTTTTGGAAGAAAAGCAGCAGTGAAGATGCTACAAACTATATTCTAGCGTCTGAGCATGTTTGGTTGGTGCAATCCATATTGTAATCTTCTTCATAGATCTTAGCTTTTTTTACCCCAAAACAGCAACTTTATTTCTTCCATAGTTATTGGGATTTATATCCTGGGAGTAGTAGTCCAAAATGCCTGCAAGAATCATATATGTCCCTATTTTCCTTAAGGAGCACAAAAATCACAGGAAAATGGGTTAATTAGGAGAGAGGGTTTCCATTTTCCCCTTCCTCATATGACGTTCCAATATTTTTGGGATGATTGATGATCTTATAGATCACATTTGGGTGAAAAAAAGAAGTCTGGAATACCTGTGGAAGGAATGGAAAATTACTTTTATATGTAGCATATGGATATTCCAGTTGGTGGATTTGTTTTGGGTTAATCCAGTTATATTTATGGTAAATTTAAGCAAAGCAAGTTGTCATTGCAATCCTCAGCCTGATTTTACCATTTGAAAATGCGGAGAAAACTTGTTTACATTGGAACAACAAAAGCATTCTATGCTTGAAAGCAGGTTTATTTTTACAGCAAAGATGCCAGGATAATAGGACTAATTCTGTGTCTTGAGGGGTTGGCTAACACAAGCATAAAAAGCAGTGTATTATTTTGTATGTTTCCTGTATACTTAACAATAGTGAACAATGGCAGAATTCAAGAAACAGTTCTGTAATATTTAGGCAGATTTAACTGAGTAGTGAATTCTGAGCAGATTTGTAGAATTTTGTTCACTTATTACTCAATTATAGTGAATGAAGAGATTAATTTTGGAATAATTTGTGCTCTCAAAATGAGCCTTATATTGTTTAGAATTAAGACACGTGTTATGATAAACTTTGATTTGATTCAACTGGATATGCTTAACTATTTCAGTTAATGAAAAAAATGAATTCTATTTCATTTCTCACTGGTCTATCATATCAGTCTATCCCAGAAGTCATTATGGTTTGTAGCAGTGGAAGATGCTGAGAAGAGGTCATTACTGAAGCCACAGTTTAATAAAACATATTTAATAGTAATTTACTTTCTCTCTTGAGATATTAATTAGTTTGTAGTTGTTTATTAAATGTTCTGTTTAGAGATGCCAAGGTTGTCCCTGCTAGTTTTTGTGAGCAGATAGCTCCTTCTAGTGGTTCTTTATGCAGGACTGAAAATGAGTACTATAGTTAACAAACCATAAAACCTTGAATATTGCAGAGGTGCTTTGTAACTAAATGCTTTCTAATATTTTGGACCATAACTTCCGCAATCCTACACAATTAGCCAATCTGGTTGAGATTGATGGGAGTTGAGACCTAAAATATTTGAAATAATCAATAGGACTTACTTATTTTGATATTACATTATTTTCTAAACTAAGGTGGCTCTTTTTGTCCTTCCTGTTTCTGTGTTTCCTATTTCCCAGTGATATTCTCATGGTTAGGTTTGACAGTTTTGAGTACACTGGTATCAAATCCACACATTTTCAAAGACAGTGAGACTTAAGGAGACTGATGAAAGGATAGTTTCATTATTTCACATTAATGGTACTTTCTCATTTAAGTCTTATTGCTTGTTGTGAGGACACATAGAAATTAGAATGGCAAAGTGTGTTATCCTAAGACAACATGCTTCCAGAGAACTGTTAAAGGATTACACATAATAAAGATGTTGATATAATGTTCTTTATCATTTTTTGTTTTTTGTCTTCAGGATTCTCCTCTGAAAGCTGTACAGATGCTATGGGTCAATTTGATTATGGACACTTTTGCTTCTCTTGCTCTGGCTACGGAACCTCCCACAGAATCCCTTCTGCTAAGAAAACCATATGGTAGAAACAAAGCCCTTATTTCTCGTACCATGATGAAAAATATTCTGGGTCATGCTGTGTATCAACTCACTCTAATTTTTACTCTCCTTTTTGTTGGTAAGCTTAAATGCCATTTATTGTTATTTTTGCACGGTACAGATAATGAACTACTTTACTTTTGAATCTGCAAATGATATATAACGTGGGATTCCACATAACCAGGAGTTTATTCAGAGTACATAATTCAAATAATGACTTCAGGAAATGCAGAAATCCATTCACTCTTTTGTCACCAACGTTTTAAAACAAGCTGAAGTTTCAATAGGCCTTTATTACATGAAATGGAAATTAGTTACAACTACCATTGACTGCATCAAGGTCTTCTTTTCCTTTCACATATTGTCAGACATTGCAATAAATAGTTCTCTAGAAACTCAGCTAGCAGTTAAAGATAGCAGGGAAAGACTCAATGACGATACACCCCCCTAAAAAAAAAAGGTGTTGGTTGCAAATACATTAAACCTTAGTAATGAAGAAAATGAAGTGCTGCAGAGTCTAGCAATTCAGTTTGTTCCATGAAACACTAGGATATAAATGTGCATTTCCCCCTCCCAGTCTTAATGGTGTAACTGACTTCCTGCCACTTGTTTCTTGGCCTTGGATGTGGAGGTCACCTTTGCTATGAAGAGCCGTGGTGACACAGTGGTTAGAATGCAATATTGCAGGCAACTCTACTGACTGCTAGCAGTTCGATCATGATTGATTCAATCTTCCATCCTTCTGAAGTTGGTAAAATAAGGATGCAGTTTTTGGGAGGCATTATGCTGACTCTTTAAATAACTTAGAGAGGGCTGTAAAGGACTATGAAGCAGTATATAAGTAAGTGCCATTGCTATGTTTTGATTACAATCCTTGGTCTCATGTCCTTTAGCTGGACTGTATTTACAAGAGTCAGCAAAATATAAGCAGACCAAAAAGGAAGGTTCAAGAATAAGCAACAAGATTGGTAATTTTAGTGGGATTTTCAAATTTTGTTCCAGCATTGCTATCTGTGGCATTTAACTAATTAAAACTTATTTAGTTACATAAATGTAGTTACCTAAAACTGGAGATGGTTGACTCCATTTCCCCCCTCGTTCTCTGCTCTCTTCACATCCATCTTTCGTTATATTGATGTATTCTTATTTTCTTTTTCTTTCTTTCTTTTAGTGTTTTATTATTTTACTTCTGTTTACACTTCTTTTCACTTCATTTTTTTATTGTTGTAAGCCACCTGGAGTCGTTCCACATGGAAATAGGCAGCAAATAATTTTAACAAATAAATATTAGATAAAACTTTCGAAGTTCCACGCAAAGAATAGTGTATAGTTGTTTTACAATGTTTTTGTTTCTGAGAATCAGTAACTTAGTGGTCTTACACTTTCAGGAGAGAAAGTAACTAACTGGCTTGGTTAAGTACCACAAGTCCCCAGAATATATTGGCCTTGATTTATGTAAACTTAAACATCATGCAAATGATGGAAATACAATGAGACTCAGTTTAATGCATACATAAAATGACAGTTGAGCTTTGTTTTTCTTTGGAAGACATTTCACTTCTCATCCAAAAAGCTTCTTTAGTTCTGACTGAATGGTGGATAATGGAAGGATTTATATTTCTTGCAGTCATCTGGTACATAAACCCCTCCATCCCCCACAATATTCAGTCAGAACTAAAGACGTTTCTTGGATGAGAAGCAAAACATCTTCAAGGAAAAACAAAGTTTGAAAAAGCACCTTTGGGACAAACCATGA